ATAATTGTTTTGTTCGTTCATCTACTGGGCACCTGGGCTGTTTCCATATCTTGGTGATTGTAAATAATGCTGTAATGGACATTCGTTTTCCGGGTTTCTTTGGATAAATTCCATAAGTTAGCATCATAAGGTAGTTCCATTTTCCATTTTTTGAGATAGCTCCATACTGCTTTCCACAACGGCTGCACCAGTCTGCATTCCCACCAATAGTGCAGAAGGGTTCTCTTTCTCCACATCCTTGCCAGTACTTGGTATTTGTTGATTTATTGATGATAGCCATTCTGACTCGTGTGAGGTGATATCTCATTGTGGTTTTAATTTGCATCTCTCTGATTAGTGACATTGAGCATCTTTTCATATATTTGTGGGCCATCTGTATGTTCTTTTTGGATAAACTAGTTATTTTTAAAACAAAAACAACATGAGGAAGTAAACCAGAATAGTCCACAATCCCAACAAGTAGGATCCACTTTAGCCGACGACTGCACGTGGCCTCATACACTGGATTCTGGCTGTCACAGCCGATTAGGTCATCAGTTGTCAGTGAGGAATAATGAAAGTGGCGTGTCTTGGTGGTTCTCACTGCCAGTTGTGTATTAGAATCACCTGGGGAGATTTTGGACTTCCGGCTCGAGGATGCGCCCCGTGCTAATTAAATCAGAGTCTTTGGGATTGGACCAGATGGCAGTATTTTTTTTTTTAATTTAAATTTTATTATTGTTCAATTACAGTTGTCTGTATTTTCTCCCCACCCCTCCCCACTGATACCAGTATTTTTTTAAGGCTTCCTTCCCAGTGTGCCTTCAGAGCCAAGAACTGTTCATCTATAACTTTGAGTATAGAGGAGTATTTACAGACATTGAACCTGGATGGCTGCTGAAGCGAACCCAGAATCAGCATGGCCACTTTCTCACTGGGGGGAACGAGTTGGAGGGAGGGAAACAGTTGTTGGAAGTGGAACAGAACGGAGTGCAGTGAGAAGACCTCCCCCCTCCTCCTGAAGGGTGACCGCCACTGTGTTCGTATGCCCTAGAAAATACCAGTTGTGTGCATGTACACAGAGTCATATGCATGTGTTCATTTTACATCAAAGTTTATGTCTTTATATTTGATTACATATTTGTATCAAATTTACACAAAGGTGTTACACCATATAATCGGTTACATTTCCACAACTAGTCACATCGTGTGATGAATATGTTCCTAGTGCTCATTTATTCTCATCTTTTGATGTTACAAAAAAAGGCTACTATGGAAATTAGTAAATGGGCACCACATACTTTTTCAAGTATATCCAGAGTATAAGTCCCCAGCAGTGAATATTGATAGTGTGGAGTGGATGCTGTGTACATTTAAATAAAGTTGCTGTCCAAAATGGTTGCAGGAACTGATACGCCTATGAAAAATGTGTGCGTGTTTTTCCTTTGTCTTTCCATCAAACTTACTTTTCCTAATCTGATAGGTGAAAAAATTGTCTCCCGTTGGACACGCTTTCATATGTTATTGACCATGGTAATTTCTTCTGAATACTACATCATATTCCTTGACTATTTTTTTTTTAATTTATTTATTGTTCAAGTACATTTTTCTGGTTTTTTTTTTTTTTTTAGAAATCTTTTTTTAAAAGATTTTTAAATTTATTTATCTTTAGAGGGGAAGGGGGGAAGGAGAGAGGGAGAGAGACATCAATGTATGGTTGCCTTTTGTGTGTCCCCTGCTGGGAACAGGCCTGCAGGGAACCGGCCTGCAACCCAGGCATGTGCCCTGACTGGGAATCGAACCGCGATCGTGTGGTTCGCAGGCCCGCGCTCAATCCACTGAGCTACACCAGCCAGGGCCATTTTTCTGTTTTTTACTCCCATCCCAGCCCGCTCCCCACCTCCCTCCCTTACCTATTTTCTTTTGGGTCCATTGTCTTACTGCTTTAAAGAAGTTAAAAGCCCATACATTACTCAGACCACGCCCAGCTTTCAGGAAGTCTACAGGTTGCCGTCTTTAAATGGACTCGCTGGATTCATATTTTTCCATATTATTTATCTTTTGGACATTTGCCATGGCCCACAAAAGGAATGCCAATCATATCTGCGCAGTGTGCAGGAAAATATTTGTTAGCTTTTTAGAATTAAATTTCACGACCACAAATTAATTTCCATAAACTGCCCAGTAGGGAGAAAGTCAGGACCAGAGGAGTGTATAGGTCAGTTCAAGCCATTCAAATACACTCATGAAGTGAATGCAGCCAGAGTGAATTTAGTGATACAAAGTGAGTGTGAATCACAAATTAATTTTCTACACAAACATTCTAATGAGTTATGAGTAAATGCTACTTCCTATTGCAAATATACAAAACAAGTTAACCTCAGGGTTCAGTGTTAATTTCTTCTACAGCAGTCAGATCTCAACATCACCGTAACAATATACAGACTCAGTTTAAATCGGACTCGGCTGCATCTTCCAGACAAGTAGTAATGGTGCTTTTAGATTCAGTGTTGCGTACATGAGTCAACAGTCTTCCTTATCATCCATGGGTTTCACGGTAAAAGGCCTGTGTTTTGAAAGTTTGTGTTGTGCTGTGAACCAAGACTGACTTAAAGTAACTTGGGCTTATAATTTTGTCTATGTAGGTGGTTGTCCCCTTTTTACTCCCTGGACTGTTTCTCAAAAGTGGGGTGTTTGTGGAGGTGCGGAAACACGGTAGTACATTGTCCCTTTTTTTTTCTTCCTCTTTCTTCCTTTCTCAAGAAAACACTTGGCACAGCCTAGAACACCCCTCAAGGCCACCAGCTCCAAGCAGGAATCGATAACAGGTCCCAAAATTTTTCACCAAGAAAGCCAACTCCTTCCTGTACATTTAAGCCCGCATCTTACACTTATAATCCACAGTCTAGAATCCTGGCGTCTCCGGAGATGGTCAGAGGATTGATTTGTGAATTGACAGCATTGGTCAGAAATTTGGAGAACACTGATGGTTACGAGAGACATTGAGTCCTGGGCTTTTTCCAGCCTGGACTGATTGTGAGATTCACGTGGGAACTTACAAAGGTGTAGGCCCCTAGGCCTTGCTGCTGGATGGTCTGATTGAGAGGGCCTGGGTGGGGCAGGAATCTGGATGGCCAGATCACCCTCAGTGTATCAGTTGTTCCCAATCCAAGCTCTCTAAATCCTAGCCATGACTTAAGAGAGGACATCTATAAGCCACCTGTCTGCATTACATTATCCTAGCTTCTTGCAGAAATGAGGCTTATGGATCTTCATTCTTGTCAACACGAGACATCCATTTGTGGACAATTTCTACACCATGAAACTGGCTAAAAGCATAAACCAGCATTTATATAAGAACCCGTGTCAATTCTTTTCCTAAAAGTGCCCCAAAGAGGTGGCTCTGCAGGTGAACCTCTTTTCTCAGGTAGAAGCAATGCATCCCAAGATAGTCGTCTCCTGGTCTTTGAGGAAGCTCACGGGTAAACTCCTATTTGGGAAATTATCCCATTTCAAAAGGCCCACTGCATTTATTTCTGCCTTCTGACTTAACAGCTTTTAAAGGTTATAGTCTGCTTTTTAAAAGTGTCTATGACCACATTTGTTAATCGAGGTTTAGTGTAAACGATCCAGGCACGGAACAATCCCATAGCTTTGAACTCTGCAAAATGTTCTAGAAGCCAAAATATAAAGAACACATCTCATTTTTCACTTGCAAAAGGAGAAAGAAACCTGGTGGATTTCAGTGCCTTCAATCTAGAGGGAAAGTAGGGGGAAAGGTGGGGAGTTGGAGAGTCGTGTGGGAAGGCTTTCTTCTGCAAGGTTGCTTAGGGGATAGCACTAGTTTTGCAAATCCCTTGGCCTTGAAGGCCCGGAAACCTGCTGTTAATGAGCACAAGGAGTGTCCATCTGTCAGGGTCAATCTCGCATCCACCAACCTCCTGGACTAATGTATGCCACCAGGATACCAGTTCATTTACACTGAGTTAAAATTGCCTTTGAAATACACATACCATTTAACCTCATTCCTGTCCAAAGGCTTCCAGGTCATTGCCCTATCCATCCTTCCCCGTGACACCAACCCCTGCTCCCACTTGTGCTCTGCTGTCAACTGCGAGTTTCTTTGGCTCGAATCCCCATTTCCCAGCGCTGCTCATCCCAAACTCATCATCTGAAGCCCACTTTAAATGCTCCGCTCTTTTCAAACCGTTTGACCCTTCAAGTCCCAAATAACCTTGTCCTCGGAACTGGTAAGAGCACATTGTTCCTTCCACGCTCTTTTTCCTATCTTTTTATTCCAATGTCCCGTGTACACGCCCACAGGAGGCCGAGGACAATGTCTGTATTTTATTGACGTTTGAAACTCGACGTTTCAGACCAACACAGTGCCCGATACAGGTCACACCTCTCAAGTATTCGCTGCTCCAGTGAAAGACCACGTAGTCTTGGGCGGGTCTCAGGGTTCCTGGCCTGCAGGACCGCTCGCTTCCTCTCACCGAAGGGTGAGTCGGCTTTGCCGTCCGCCACTTGTGCAGCGCGGGCACACTGCCCAGCGTAGAAACGGGTCCGGACAACGCTTACTGCAAGGACGGACCCACAGGGGAAGAAGGGGCCCAAGGCATGATGGGAGAGTTCACTCATTCGCCCACCCGGGCGTCGGAAAGTTGAAGCCGGCAGGAGCGAGCCCTGATTGGATGACTCCGCGGCTCAGGACCCCCGCTCACCGCCCGGGGCGGGGCGGGGCGCCGCATGGCCCCGCCCACGCAAGCGCGGGAATCCGCGCGCGCCAAGGTGCGGCTGACTGAGTCCCTGCAGGTACGTTTTCCGCGCTGCTGGCTCACGCGTCCCGGTGTCCCCGCGGATCTCCAGAGCGGGCCGGGCTGAGGCAACAGGCTGTCTCTGAGGGCAGGCGGCGGGGGCCCGGGATAGCGCTGGAGCGGCGCGCGTTCGGGCGGCCGATTCCCGCCAAGCCTCAGTCCCGCGCCGTCTCTTTTCCCGCCAGGCCGGGTCTGGGCTTCCTGGCCGAGCGCCCCGCCCAAACGGTTTGGGGAAGCGGGGTCCCCTGTCCCGGGAGACTCCCTGCCCCGGCAGCGCGGTCCCTGGAAAGCGGGGCTCCCGAGCGGCCCCGGCCCTCTCTTCCTGTAGCCCCGGGGCAGCCGCCTCTTCCTGGGGACCACTCCCCCGGGCAGCCAGGCTCCTGGAACCTGGGGTTCCCTCCCGGGCCCGGCCCCCTCATTCTACAGCCCCCTCCTCCTGGCACTCCCCTTCCCTCCCCGTGCGGCCCGCCCCCCAGCTCTCCCGGAGTGCCTCCAACCCCAACTAAGCGGGGATGGGGCCGGCCTCCTGGATTTTTCTCTGCCTGCTAGTCCATTTTGCTCTTCTGGACAGACGGACGGATGGTCGGAAGTAGCAGGACAATCTCAAAAGCAGGGTCTCAGCAGAACATTCTAGTTGGAATTTGCGAGGTCTTGTGTCAAGACGTGATCGGCCTCCCTTCCAACACAGCCGCCTTTTTCATACTTGGGGGTCCTGGTTGCTCACGGGCGTTCAGGTTTCCTGCTGTAATAGTTCATTCCCAACGACTCACCGCTGTCCTCTGTCTCTGGGAAAAGAATCGGCCGCGGACCATTCCTGCTTCTGGGCTTCTGGGCGACGCGGGAGGATGAAAGTCATCACGTGCGAAATCGCCTGGCACAACAAGGAGCCGGTGTACAGCCTGGACCTGCAGCCAGGCGCGGCGGGGCGGACCCACCGGCTGGCGTCCGCGGGCGTCGACACGGTCGTGCGGGTAAAGCGGGCACAGGGGGCACGGAGGGGCGCGGGCAGGCCCCTGGAGCAGCCAGCCTCCTGCAATCATTGATTTACAGCTACCATATTGTGCTGTGTACCATGAGCTGGCATGTACAATGTGCACTCGTGGTTTTGGCCCAAACTTGCAGGAAAAAAAAATCTTTCGTTTTAACTTTTTAATTCAGTTTTTTATTTATTCATACTTAGAAACAAAATTGATGATCTTATTTCAGCGTGTTATTTTTGCATACAAGTATCATTACTGCTTTCTAGAGTTACGCTTTTAACGCATAAGCATAAATAAAAGAATTAAGAACATTTATATAGATACAGAATTAGTACCACTCATGTATAATGAATGCATATCTTTATTTTTCCCTCAAAAATTTGGGCAAAAAAAGGTGCGCCTTGTACACAGCAAAATAGGATAACGCCCACCAACTCAAGCTACTTCCTCACTTCCTCCTCTAGACCAGAGGGGTGAGTCTCAGGGCCTCCTGGGAGCCAGGCAACAAAGGAAAGCCACCTCCTTTCTTTGGTCCTGTTCCCTAGACTGAGGGACCTGGGATGCCCATGGTTTTAGGGTCCTGAGCCAGGTTCCTGCTGGGGAGCAACCTGCACCAGGAGGGAGGAGGGAGGACAGCGGGGCAGGGGACTGTGGCTTGTGTTTCAGATAGAGCTGCCTTCATTTTCTGTTTCAGAAGAAAAACTGCATTTCCTTCTTGGAAATAAGCATAGTTTATTTCAGTGGGTATTTCGGTGGCTGTCGTGTCAGTGTGCCCAGTATGGTAGGTGCCCACTCCGTTTCTCTGGGTGACCGTTTTGATATTGACAGATCTGGAAGGTGGAGAAAGGACCAGACGGAAAGGCCATTGTGGAATTTTTGTCCAGTCTTGCTCGCCATACCAAAGCCGTCAATGTCGTGCGTTTTTCTCCCAACGGGGAAATGTTAGCCTCCGGGGGCGATGGTGAGTACTGTACTTCAAAATCCCTTAGAAACTACATACCCGTGTGTCTCATGGTAAATCCCGAGATTTGAGCTAGGCAGGCTTTTTTATTTCAGAGGTTACTTGACCCTGACCGTCTATCACATAGACAGCTTAGTAAAATAAAAATGATGTTCTGGGGAGTGTGAGCAGAGGCCTCAAGTGACTTCCTGGAGGTCACACAGCTAGGGGTGATCTGCCAGGCCTGGTGTGTGTCCGTGGCTCTTTGTGGCTGCTTTTTTCTTACTCAGTCATATCTAGGATATGCCTGTAGGTTTGTTAACGTCATTAGTCGCTTTGCCGTGGTGTTTGGCTAGCTTGGGGACGCTTCTTTTTAAGGTGACTTTGTGTAGCACTGATCTGGATGAATCTGATTCTGGAGGTTCCGTTCAGGAGGCAAACCTGTTTTTCCCGTTAGGATTCTTAGAGGTCAGCCGTCAGGGCCGACAACAAATATATTATTTAATCGCCCAGAAATCCAGACAGGGCGTAGCGTGCAGTTTAACACTTGAGCCGTCCTTAACCGACTCCCTCCACAGATGCGGTCATTCTGTTGTGGAAGGTGAACGACAACAAGGAGCCAGAACAGATCTTTCAGGATGAGGATGAGGCTGAGCTGAGTAAGGAGAACTGGACCGTCGTAAAAACACTCAGGTAGCGTGGGGAGGGGCGTGGAGTGATTTGTCTCTACCTTCCAAGTGCATTAACCTGATAGGCCTTTTGGCTTTTGTATCTAACTTGAAACTTTTACTTAGGCAAGACAGAAATAAGAGAATAGTTTTAAAACATAAAAGCAGGCTTAAGATGGGTTTTCTTAGTTTCTGCTATAAAGTGTTCCTTAGTAGAATTGAATCCATTTTAAAGACACAGATACCCTTGACCGCAGTAGGTCACAGCTGCGGCTAACCTAGTTCCAGCGGCAGTTTCTAGAATCCCATGCTGATGTGTGGTCCCTGAGCTGGCCTTCAGGTGTTTGGTCATTTCTCTCTTCTCTCCCTTCCTTTCCCTCTGGGTTCTAGGGGCCACTTGGAAGACGTGTATGACATTTGCTGGGCCACGGATGGGAATCTGATGGCTTCCGCCTCAGTGGACAACACGGCCATCGTATGGGACGTCAGCAAAGGTACCTGAAGGGCGTTGTTATCATCAGGAGAAGCAGTAGCCCAGGGGTCTAAAGGGCCAACCTGCTCTCTTTAAGGCGTCAGAAGACTTTCTGTAGTGAGCTAACATCGGGAGGCCGCAGAGAAGGGTGGGGATTAGCCCCTGTGCTGTGGGCCCAACTCAGTTTTAGGGACCGGTCAGAAGGCAGGAGCCTTGCCGTGGCGTCGTGAGCCCTGCTTGCAGTGGGGTGCAGCCACGATGGGGACAGGCTGGTTCCTTCCTCTGCGGAGGTCAGGTCGGGGGAGGGTTGGCAAGTCTTTGTTAATGGGCATGGACTGCGCCAGGTCGGGGTGGGCGGAGTCGGGCTTTCATTTCAGGAGACTGGGGGTTGGGGGCCACTGAGCTGCCTGCAAAGAGCCTGTTCCCTATCGTGGAGACAGCAGCGCAGGAGAAGTCACAGCTGTGTAAAGAGCAGTGCGGTGCCTGACCTGTGGGCCTTCACTCAGCCTTGGCGTTTTCTCCCACGGCGCCTCCTCCGCTTTCCTCTGCTGTGCAGGCTGCTGACTCCCGGTGCCCATGGACGGGATTTTGTCCCCGCCGTCACAGTCTGTCCTTGTGGTCCTGGGCCGCCAGCTGCACAGTCCTCTAGCTTGCCTCGCTCTGTCATACCCTGTCTCCACATTCTGATGAGTGCGGCTGCCACTTGTTTTCATCCTCAAATCTGGCCTTCGTCCTAGAGAGTCCCCTCAGCGCCCCGTGAGGCCAGCTGTCATGACCTTGAACACTGGCGGCACTCAGGGCACTGCGGCAAGTGCTGGAACAGCACACGAACAAGGTGGCTTCGTCCCAGCGGGTGTCAGGTGGTGGAGGGGCTGCGAAGCGGCCAGGTGGGGAGCGTAGGCCACCTGGGAAGGCTCTGAGCACGAGGTCTGGACAGACTCGAAGGGAGGTGGGGAGCAAGCCGTGTGCGTTGTTTTGGGAAGAGCATCCGGCGAGTGCAGAGGCTGTGTGTGTGTGCGTGTGTAGGAAATGGAGAGCCTACCGGAGGTGGGGTGGGGGACTGAGGGATGGGGCCGGGCCCCAGGAGGCTGTACATTGTACCCCAAGTGTGACCCAAACTGCTGAGGGTTTTGAGCAGGAGAATGATGGGATTTTATTTGCATTTTAAAAAGATGTCTCTGGGTGGCACGTGGCAGAGTGGTCCTAGGAGAACACAAGTGATAGCAGGGGAAGCAGTTAGTGGCAGAGGTTTAATTCAGGAGAGGTGACAATGGCCTGGGCTCGGTTGCTGGCGATGGAAGGGGAGGGAAAGGGTTGGGCTGGGACATGGTTTGTAGGAAGAGCTGAGAGGATCTGACGCGTCCGCGGTGACTGAGCTCTTAGACAGCCGGGTGCGTGTGGGTGCCATTTCCTGCGCTGGGATGCTGCAGGGAGTGTGGAAATCAGGGCCCCACCCGAGACTGCTGTCTTTTTTGTAAAGGGTGTGTGTGTGCGTGTAGCGTAGGTACAATTCTTTCAAGTCAGTTGATTTTTATTGAAGGAATTCCACATGGCGTGATTTCTTCTACTTCCCATCCCCCTTAGCTCCTCACAGTTTGTCGCAGTCTTCAGGAGAACACTTGTAAGAGGACGTTGGCTTAACCCCGTTGTCACGTTGTGCCAGTCCGCAGGTCTCTAGCTGACCTCTGAAGCCAGGGGCCCCTCTCCCGTCAAACTGCCTCCTTCGCTTCTCTCAGCACCTCCTGTGTTTCTTCCTCGAGCCCCCAGCCTGTTCCCAATCCGTTAGCCCCTCTGCCTCGGCTGTTTCCTCCTGTTTCCTTCAGCCAGTTTGCTGACCCAGGTGGTCCATTATCAACCATCTGTTCCCTCAGACCCTTTCCTTCCATCCCTCTGAAGACAAACCCCAACCCAGGATTGGGATCGGGGTGACAGTCTCCTGTTAGTTCCCAGTCCTAGGCTAACGCAGCTGGATGAAGACCTTCCACCCTGCAGATTTGGGCGACTTACCAGCCTCACCAGTGTCCCCTACCTGGGGCTTAGACCCCCTCCTGTTCTCCCCAGTAGCTCCCCCCAAGCCTTTGCAGGCCTCTGTATGCCCTCTTCCGCACCCCAGCCCTCTTAACCCCAGCAGACACCCTGGAAAGAGGCCGAGGAAGGAGAAAGGCAGGAGAGTAGGCCACTGGCAGCTTTAGGGCCCAGCTCTGCAGGCGGGTGGCAGAGAACGGTGGGCAGCAGCAGCCGAGGGGCTGGGTGACTGGAGGAGGAGCACGGTGCAGAGCGAGTGAGCCAGGGGCGACTGCTGCGGGGAAGAGGGGTTTGTTTGGTTTTTTCAAGTATGGCTGGGGCTTCCTGAACCCCACCCCCATCCAGGTAATGTTTGTGTGTTCCTGGTTTTCCTTCTAAGTACTTCCCCTGCAGGCCCATCCCCGTTAGCACTGCTCTGGTTCAGGCTCTCGCCTCGCCCTTGTCTACTCCCACCTTCTCACTAGTGACACTTCTCTGCTCTCTCCAAAACCTCAGTTTTGCCTTTGTAATCAGGTCCCTTCCTCTTAGAGTTCCTGTTGTCCACTCTGAATGCCAGGAGCCTTTTCCTAGGACCCAGGGGTTCTGTTACCTACTGCCACTCCTCCTTGCCTTGTCGTTTTGGCCCTGTCCCTCACCTACTCACTGTTCTGTTACTGTCATCGCTCCGTGTCGACGGCCCTCACCCCTGTGCTTTGCCTACAGTACCTCCTTTCCCCTCGCTGACCCCTTCATCCTGCCTGACCTGAGAACTGGGCTCAGCTCGTCCCCTTGACCCTCACTTGCTGCTTGTTAGCCGCTCCCCTCCCCTGGACCATAAGCACAGCCTCTGTCAAGCTGCAGTGTGCTTTCCCGTCAGCGGGTCTGTGTCTGCCACTGAGCTCCGAGTGCCTTGGGAATGAGGGCTCTGTGAAGTTGTCTTTGTGCCCGACACAGTTTGCTGCAGTCTCACCGCCTACTGCATGCAGAGTGGTATTGTACAAAGACAGCAACGTTTAATGGTAGTGTATGCCAATTGTGTGTGCTTGAGCAGGTTTTGCAATGCTGTTGTGTGCTTTTTTCATAGGACAAAAGATCTCCATCTTTAATGAACATAAAAGTTATGTACAAGGAATAACCTGGGATCCTTTGGGACAGTATATTGCTACCCTGAGCTGTGACAGGTACCTTAGTCTAAGACAAATTATCTTTATTTACTTGAAAATTTCTGTAGAAGTGTTTTATTACAACTTAACTGGTATAAACCATGGCCTAGCTTTGATTCTTTTGTTCTCAGTTTCATATAAAGGACTTTGTTTTCTGCTATTTTTCCAGTATAAGAAAAATTGGAAACTGATCAGGGCAAGTGCCTGACCTGAAGTTAGTGCTTAGTAAACTTTCACGGAATGAGTGAATAAATGCAGAAGGAGCTCTCAGTTAAATTTGAATTTCACGGGCAACTTTTGAAGAAAAGGTGTTTTATAAATATGACTTAAGAAGATGTACCCAGTGGTAGGGCTAGATACTTTACCTATTTTTTATTATATTTACTATGGCGGTGATTTTAATGAGACTGTTTAACTTAATATAAACATAAAACCTTTGGTCCTTTTTGAGAGGAGGGCTTCCTGCTGTGTTTGCTGGGACGACTGCACTGAATTGTGTTCTCGGAACTAAGACGTTAAAAAATCAGAGTGCCAGGCCCGTTACTCATCAGTCAAAATAGCCCTACTGAATATTTGACTACTTTTAATTACAGTACATTTACGTTCAGGTGGCGCTGGGATGAAAGTAATATGGAAACGTCAGTGTGCATTTTTCATAGAGTTTTCTGCTATATTCCCAATGTCGTTTATTTTCTGATTATGTTTTTACTCAGGCAGTCGGGAGGGAAACACATTTTATTCCAGCTGTGGGAACGAAATGCATTTCCAGCAACCAAATTCCCCTGCTGGTGGTCCCCTCACCCCTGCGAAGCCCCAAGGGCGACACCGTTCAACGTGCAGTAAATTCCACCACAGTCACAGGCACACAGGCTGCCCTGGGCCAAAGGTCCGGCCCTGGCAAACCTGGCCAGGCCTGACGCACACCTTATTTGAGAGGCGGAGACGTTCAGTAAGAAATGAGAGGATGACATCTTCCTCCACGTCGTTAGTGACGGCCTTTCAGTGGCTCATGCCAAAGGCAAGCTTCATCGTTACTCAGTTACGCGGGAAAGTCCTTGGTAAATGGCTTTGCAGGCTGAAAATCATCGAAGTGACCTTCGATTTGGGTAACGGATTGTTCCTGTGTGAAACATGACTCTTTTGCTGGAAAAAGTCAATCAGACTTTCTGTTTTGTTCAGGACCCTGAGGGTGTACAGCACACAGAAGAAGCGTGTGGCTTTCAATGTTTCAAAGATGCTGTCGGGCACGGGCGCTGAAGGGGAGGTAGGAGCAGCTTTGACTTTCCTCGCGGCAGAGCATTAGCCAGGATGTAGGAGGTCCGAACTCCCCCGTATCTTGCAGGCAAATCACTTTCTTAGCAACACCTGGACCCCAATAAGGTTTCCTCTCGGACAGTCCAGGCTCAGTTCATGTGGGGGGCTGGCCTGTCTGGAAATGGGGACATCTGGGCGCCGGAGCAGAGCTGATGGTGGAGGACAGTGGTTTCCAGCCCAGGCTGCCCTGCGCAGTCACCTGGGAAGCATTAAAAAATACGAATGCCTGCCTGGTCTCCATCCCCAGAGGCGTGCCTCACCGAGCTTGAGGCAGGCAGGGCGTCCTACGGGATTCCGAGGTGTAGTGGGGGTCAGGACCACCGACTTGGGAGGACCCAGGCAGGTGGGTCTTGCGGCGGATTGTCGGCAGCAGGCAGTGCAGCATCTTGGCCGGCAGAGGCAGGTTGAGCGCTCAGGTAGCCCGCGACAGCGGGACCCAGCCATTGGGCTGGCGTTCGGGAGCAGGGGACTTTGCTCTCAGAAGGAACTGGCGAGTGAGAGAAGGACCCGAGTCCTGGAGGAATCAAGACTACGGGGCAGGCGCTTGGCCTGAAGGGAGCCAGCTACTTACTGGCAAAAGAAAGGGACAGAGTGCCCGTCCGGCCCCAGGGTGGCAGGTTGGGACTGCATGGGTCGCGGGCTAAAAAAGCTTTCATTTGGTTGGAAGTCCTAAATTATATACACAGACAATGAGCGAAGGACTCCCCGGCCGTCTTCCTGTTGTCCCCACACAGGCTTACCCCACACAGACCACTGGTGCCTGAGAGCTTTTAAACTCACTGTAGAACCACGTGCCCACACACATGCATGTACACGTGTATACACAGAGCTTCTGTGAACAAAAAGGATCAGCTCATGATTAGTTCTCAAGAGTGTTTGATGTATGATACATTATTTTAGGTTTGTTTACTATGGTCAGTAACGAATGATAATACAAAACTTAGAAATCAGTAAGCCTTTCTTGTGAACATAAGGGTTTGGAATAATGTTTAAACTTTGGGCCACAGGCAAGAAGTTACCGGATGTTTCACGACGACAGCATGAAGTCCTTCTTTCGTCGCCTTAGCTTCACCCCTGATGGGTCTCTGCTCCTGACGCCAGGTGCGTGGGACAATGCAGGGCCTCGCCAGGACTGGTCTGAGGGCTCGAACCTCTAGTTACCTCCAGGTGTCTAACAGCGAGTGCGATATCAGAGACAGTGTGTGGGTATCGGGGAAAGGCCAAATAGAAATAAAAATGTCCGAGAAGGGAAACCAAGGAGGATGGATAAAGGGGGAGAAAGAACACGGTTCATGAGTACTGTGTAAGTTAACTTTCATGAGTAGTCGACTCAGAAAAGCAAAATGAGGAAGAGTCTAAACGATACTCCACTTTGTAAAGAAACTAAAAAACCCACCATGTGCGCGTACATGTGGGTCGGGTAGGCTGGTAGTCACGGTTCTGTGAGCCTGGAGGAAACGCAGAGGTGACAGTTGTGTGTCAGTGGACACGTGGGGAGGAAGGACGGGGCGGGGCAGCTGCTACCCTCCCAGTGGGACACGAGGCGGTCCCGTGTGAGACTGTGGCGCTGCATCGGGAAAGAGCAGCGTCAGATGGGGGCGTTCCCAGGGCAGCTGTGTGTGACGGCACTCTGCCAGGGTCTGACCTGGCTCTAAGGGCATCCTGGGGTGCGTGTAGAAGAAATCCGGGTGCAGGCTGCCCCCGGCGCCCAGTCAGCGTCTGCAGAGGCTGGAGATTTCAGCAGAGGGCCAGGCCTCCTGGTCCATCGCGGGTGGGAAAAGGCCCGGTCTCGGCGCTTGGATGGCAGCAGAGGTCGGACCTGGGCACACAGTGGGGGTGTCGCCGCAGCCCTGCAGCGGGGACTGGCCAGGTCCTCAGGCAGAGGTCTTCCCTCAGAGGGTTCCCGCTTTCCATTCTTCCTGCCCGGGGCCTGGAGGTGGCTTCAGGGCGGCCCAGCCCCTCAGGGGAGGTGACACTCAGGTGAGAGGACAGGCGGGTAGAACCAAGTAAGGGCTGAGCCCAGACTGGGACGAGGTTTGTGCTCATCCAGTCACAGAAACAGTGTCCAGGGAATACCCTGCCAGGAAAATTATCTTACGCACCAGAAGTGGCTGCTCTTGGGCTTAGTGACTCTCTGCCTTTCCCGCCTCCCCAGCTGGGTGCGTGGAGTCGGGCGAGAACGTGACCAGCACGACCTACGTCTTCTCCAGGAAGAACCTGAAGAGGTACGCGGCCGAGGAACCGGTGGAGACGTCCCTTTCTTCTCGCTGCTGTTGGGCAGCGGCGCCTTTCTCTGAAACCCTCTTCCATCTCTAGGCCTGTCGCTCACCTTCCGTGTCCCGGAAAAGCGACGCTGGCTGTCCGCTGCTGTCCCGTCTACTTTGAGTTGAGGCCGGAGGTGGACACAGGCATGTGAGCACCCAGAGCCCGTGGGGGGTTTTCTGCCGGGCGGTCACCAGGGCGGGTGTGACGCGGGGTTTGTGCCCTGGGGAAAGGTGAGCCCGTGAAGCTGGCTGGGTCATGTTACTGCAGGAGCTGGAGCTGGGCCGGGGCTGCCAGACGGGTGCCGTGGTTCGCTCCGTCTTTGCTGGGAGTGACTAAAGGAGTGTCCGTGCCAGTCTTTTCCCACTGAAGCAGGTTGAAAGGCTCATGATCAGTTTTTTTAATGCTTTTTTAAAAGATTTTATTTATTTATTTTTAGAGGGTAAGGGAAGGAGAGAGGAGAGAAACATCAGAGTGTGGTTGCCTCTTGTGCGCCCCACACTGGGGACCTGGCCTGCAACCCAGGCATGTGCCCTGACTGGGAATCGAACTGCGACCCTTTGGTTTGCAGGCCTGTGCTCAGTCCACTGAGCCACACCAGCCAGGGCTCATTATCAGTTTTTTATGCAGCGTAACTTTTCTGCCCTGTCCCTTCCCCTCCCTGTGTTGGATTTCGGGCAGTCCCACGGCTGTCTGGTGACCTCTCCTCTGTGCCACCTGGCCGTGGTGCCCTCCGGCGGGTCCTCCCTCCGTCTGGGACCTGTTGTCCCCCTCTCTGAACTTCTGTGGGTGCCGCCTCTCCGCTTGCTCCCAGACCACGGGGGCAGTTTCTGTGACTGGTCACATCGTTGCTTTCTTTTCCTCCTCTGTGGGTCATGTCTTCCTGCTCCTCTGAAATTTTTTTACTATGTGTCAGACATGAATTTTACCTTAGTGGATGCTGGGTATGTTTTTATCCTTACAAGTATTGTTGAACTTTATTTTTGGATGTGGTGAGGTTGGTTGGAAACTTCACTTTCTACGGGTCCTGCTGTTAAGCTGTGCGAGGGGCTTTGCAGCCGCACTGAGTCCAGGGCGGGTTTCCCCAGGGGAGACGGAGCCACCCTGCTGGAAACAGCAGCTCGTCCTGTGGCCGGTGGGCGCGCGCTGTTTCCGGCCCGTGTGCGCTTCGGGGATGGACCTTTCTCTCCTGTCTCCTCGCCCACCTGCCCCGGCCAGCGCCCAGCCGCAGACGACCGCAGCTCTCTGGTCTGTGCGCAGCCTGCACCCCAGCTCCGTCTCCTGGGCTCGGGCACATTCTGGGCCTGGACACTCCAGGCAGGGAGGGCGGCCCTGCAGCCCTTCCCGCATTTGCCTTCCTTCTCGGGCGTCGGCCTTTGTGGCCGACGGCCAGCGCCCTAAAGAATCGCAGGGCAAATCGGGTCCCTGCTGCTCCGAGGCTGGAAGTGGAAGGTGTTTCTAACTCTCTGGTTTTTTATGTGAATGAATATAACTGGAAAGAACATTCAAATGTCACTGGGCACAGTGTTTCCAGGGGACCCCGCTTTTCCTTATCAGAAAGGACCTGTCAGATTGCCCTGCCTCGTTCACAACCCCCTTCTCTGTTCTTCTTGTTTTGGACCTCGGTGCCCAGGACTCTGGTTCAGGCGTGGTTCCCATGTGTTCCTACGTTCAAATATAAAACACTAGATCGGAATTCTTTTGTAAAGTGTTAGTACAGTTACGTCGTGTGTCTCCCCTGAGAAAGGGCTTTCGGAGGAGAAGTTGTACTTTGTGCCCTGTGGGAACTTGTCCGTTGCTTGTGTAACTGTCCTTCCTTTGTCGCCCTCTGTCCCCCCGCAGACGGGCCGTCCCCCGGGCCGCTGGTGGCCCTGCCTTACCGCCTGGTGTTTGCGGTGGCCTCTGAAGACTCTGTGCTCTTCTACGACACGCAGCAGCTCTTCCCTTTCGGTTACGTGGCCAACATTCACTACCACACGCTGAGCGACGTTTCCTGGTGAGTGGCTCGGCTGAGGGGAGGCGGCGGCGGAGGGAGGGCGTCCCGTCCCCTCGGGCCCGGGAGCGTTTCCGTACAGCAGAGGACTTCTGACCCTTATTTACCAGTTTCTGAAAAAGGAAGGAACATCAAAAGGAAAGCCCTCTCTGATTTGCAGTACACTTCTATGGTCACAAGGCAACGGTGCCCCTCAGACTGCCCTGTGGGGCTGATTGAGCCTCAAGACCAGAGGGTGGCCCTGGGGCCTGTGGTCTGGGGACTCGCCAGGCCATGGTTGGCGGGAGCCGGCGGCCCCACCCCCTGCCTCCTCGGGCCCACCCACCGGCTTTCTGAGTCGTGTTTTTTCCCTTCAAATGAAGCTTGTGACTTTGCTCAACCTTCCTGTTTTTAACTGCTAATAAGAGTGTGAGGAGTGGCCCATAGACTTAGGTAAAGTTTCTGACTTTTCCTTCTGTTTTGGGGACAAAGGTCCAGCGATGGGGCCTTCCTGGCCATTTCTTCCACCGATGGTTACTGTTCATTCGTGACATTTGAGAAGGATGAACTTGGAATACCTTTCAAAGAGAAGCCAGACTTGAACTCGGGAACCCCTGAGACAGCGAGGAAAACTAAGAGTCAGACGCAACAAGGGTCTCCTCCAGGACCCAGACAGGCGGAGGGGACCCCTGCCGGCAGGACCCAGGACCCCAGCAGTCCCTGCGCTGCTCCCACTCAGGCGAGGCCAGCCCCAGCGGTGGCCAAGGACACGCCCGCGCCCCCGGAGGAGAGGAAGAGCCTGCAGCCCCGCAGTCAGAACATGGGAGGGCCGCCGCCCCGCCAGGCCGCCCCACACACGCCGCGGGCCTGGAGCAAGACGCCCCGGTAAGGACGGGGAGGGGCCCTGAGAGGCCCCCACTCCACGGGTGAACGCCACCCAGCAGCACCGTCGCGCTGCCCCCAGAGAGACGGTCCTTGACTTCAGCCCGGAGAGGGCCACTCCCGTGCTCGCAGGCCTCCGTGGGGCCCCGCGTCCCGCCTGGCGCGGAGCCGCTGTGGCTCCGCACTCCGGCCAGGCCTGCCGGCTGTCCCTCCCCTTCGCCCGGGTGCCTTCCTCCAGCCAGACCCCGAAAGCTGGGTCCCCAGGGTCCCGGCTCCTGGAGGCGGCCTCTGCCTTTACAGCCTCCTTCTGTGGCCCTGGGCCTGTGCTCCCCTGCCTGGGCCACACTAGGTCCCCCCCTCAGCCCTCTGCTCTGTCACACACACTGTGGCGAGGTTTTGTTTCTGCTTGTTTCCCTGTCAGGTGACAAGGCCCGAGGGCAGGAAATGCGTCCCCTGCTGTGCGCCAGTCTTGTCCACAGCTGCAACAGGCACTTCACCGTGGGCAGGGGCTCAAAGGGATGTCGCCAGGTGGTGTCTGCTGTCCAGCAGACGGACTCCTGGTGAACCAGGCATCTAGTCAGATAAGCCATCGTCTCTGGTGACGATGCGGCTGTTTGTTGGCCTCTGTTCTCGTCTGGTGAACTGCCGGAGTTCCCTGCCCCTGCTGCACAGGTGCAGACTCCACCCTCTGAGTCTCTGTCCCCCTGGGGCTGCCACTGCCGGGTGTCGTCCCCTGTGTCTGCTGCCTTCTCCACCAGTCCCCCACCCTCCGCCTTCTAGACAGACCGCACAGGGAGGCGGCCGGGCAGAGTGGGTGGGTGATAGAAGGCTCTGTGAACACCGTGTCCCCCTCTCTGCTGCGGTCACGCGGTTGCACTGGCAGAGCCACAGTGTGGGTTGGGGGAGGTTCGGTTGCTGTGTGGCTCGGACTTCTTTCTGCCGACCAGCACTGTTCTGTTTTGTCTTTTTCAGGTGGGGGAGGGAGTGGGAAGATGTTCCTTGAAATAGTTCTGCTATTGAAGTTTTCCCTTAATATCTTGCAAGCTACTTGCGGTTGTAATTTTTGAAAAAATAATAGTTGTTCAAAATTAAGACTGGATTTTAAAAAGACCTACCTAGGTTCTGGGGCTTTCCATAGTAGAAAGCACGTCTCATAGCAGGCTGTTCAGCACGCCACTGGCAATCAGCCACATGCAGGCTTTGGCGCCTGCAGACAGCTGGTGAAGGTTAAGTTCACTATTACAGTTCACTAGACTGTGGTGGTTTAACCTCGTGTACGAGCAACTTAGTGACCAAACAAGTGGGCGCTTCAGCCTTGCGTCTGTTGCCCTGCGTGAGAGGGTCAGCCGCAAATGCCCGACGTTTCCTGTGGGTGGCTTTGAAGTGTGGTGCACACAGTTCCCACGACACTGACCGCCACGCATGCCCTTCCTCCTTCTTTCAACCAAGGAGAGTGAACTTGCTGCCCTTGAAGACAGATACTCCGAATTCGGAACCGAGCAGTGTGGCGTCAACCCTTCCCACCGAGGACATGCAGACAGGTAAGTGACAGTGGTTCTGGTGTCGTGTCCTTAAAGGTGGAGTACCTGCTCTTCTGTCCTTCTGGAAATGGACATCCGTTCGCTCTCAGTCAGCAAGGATGCATCTTACCAGACGCACCACCAGGCTCACCACTGCCCGTGTCTTCCCGGCGGGGAGACGCCTTCCCTGAAAGCTCGGGAGAGCTGGGTGGCGCGTCGGGGCGTGGTGTGGGGCAGGCTGCTCGGCCTGGGCGCTGCTCACACTCTCGTGGGCGTTGTCCTGTGACTGTGGGGTGGTTGTTAGCGCCCCTGGGTGGTGGTACCCTGCTCCCCGGACTCACGACATGAAGCATCACCAGACATTGCCCACTGTCCCTCGGGAGGCCAGTGGCCCCTGTTTGGGAACTGCTGCTACAGACCCTTCCACCTCTGAACACAGGACCCTGCCAGGCGTTTCAATTCCGTGTCTGGGCTCAGAATTTATTTTCTGAACATCAGCTCTTAACTCCAAGAAGTCTTCGCTGACTTGCCAACCTCGCGTTTGTTAACGTTTCAGAGATGCCTGGAGACCCTCGGGGCAGTTCCCCGGAGCTGAAACGGCCCAAACTTGGGGAACATGACGGCAGTGCCCAAGGTCCGGACCTTTGAGGACAGCTGTCTCGTGCTGGAGGGCGGCCAAGTCTGGGGACTCTGTGTGCAGAGGGACGGGAGCAGGGCTGAAGGCCCCGGACCCGGCGTCAGAGGGGGCCTGGCGGACACTCCTAAATGGGCTTCTGTAACCAGACGCACGGGGACCGGTTTTCCTCCCGAGACGTTTCCTCCCGTGTCCGATGCGGTTTGCCTCGGAGGTGCGCGTGTGCCGATAGGCCGCGTCCTCTGTGGGTGCGTGTCGGACCCGGGACCCGCTCAGCGTTCCCTGCTGGGAGCAGCAGGCGCTGCCGCCCGAGCCACTTCCGTGAGAGTGTGACGCCACGGGCAGCCGCTGCTCTCGCTGGAGCTGGGAAGCGATGGTGAGGGTTTGTTCCGTAGAGTTCTGGAATGTTTCCATGGTTTTTAGATTTAGATTTCTAAATAGCTGACTAATCTCTGGAAGTTGTTATACTTGATTTTTGCTTTCCGGTTTTAAAGGTAATACGTTCATTCTAAAAAGTTAATAAACTAGAGTGAAGTGGGAAAAAACAGGTTGGACCCTGGCCGGGTCGCTCAGTCAGTTACAGTGTTGTCCCAATGCGCTAAGGTTGCGGGTTCGATCCCCCATCCAGGCACAAAGAAGCGATCAGTGAATGTATAAGTGGAACAGCAGGTCAGTGATTCTCTCTCTCTCTCAGATCAATTTTTTAACAAGAAAGAAATAAAAGAAACAAAAAAATTAAAGCAGGTTGGGAGTAGGCATCGCCATCATCTCACCCCCAAAAGGAACCCTTGTTACTGTTTTGGCTTATTTCCTCCTTCACCTTTTTATTTTGTTTTGTTTTTTCTTTTTATGGGGAGAGTTGAGATTTTACTTTAGATGCCATTTGGTATCCAAATAGGTTAACTTTTGAGATTGATTTTTCAAAGCAAGAAAATGTAACTTCGAATTTTCACCCGTGCCTCTGCTCTCCCCGGTCCCTGGACGGCGACAAGGTCCCCGTTCCTGTTGGGAAGACGGGGAATTGGGGCTGTTGCTGCAGGAGGCACAGGGCGGAGCGACTGGGTGGTGGCCCGTGTGGCGGCCGGGGAGCCCCAGTTTAGGAGCTGGCGCTGAGAAGAGGTGTCCCAGCGCAAGGTCAGTGCTGATGCCGTCACTCTGGCTCAGTGGACACGAGTCAGGTCAGGGCCCTGCGCCCAGTCCTTCCTGCCCCACCTTCCCCAGGTGGGGGCCGCCCGCCAGGTCTCTGACCCTGGAGGGAGAAGACTAACCCGAGTCAGCAGCAATGGGGGAGGAAGTGGGGGAAAGCTTCCCTGGGCTGCTCAACCTGCGGCCTTAACAAAGATGATTTGCCTCGCTTTTAGATGGGAAGGTGGCAAACTGGGGGCCATGGACCGTGCGGAGAACTGGAAGGTGGCTGCCTGCAGGGCTGTCACCACGCAGGCATGGGCCACACAGCGCCAAGACACTTTAAAGTGTCAGAAGTGTCTGTTTTGACCAGAGGCCCCCCAATGTAGCTGCCCTTGAGATCCCTTGAAGAGCTGACAAACTCTGACAGCTGGGTCCCCTCTGGAGGGTCTGGCCACAGTGGTCTGGGCTTGGCCTGAACCTTAGGCTCCTTTCAAGGTCCTCAGGGGATGGTGACTCGCGGCCAAGGTTGGGGAATCAAAAGGGAAAGCTGTCCCAGACAGGGTCTCTCCCGGTGGGTACCTTCCCCCCAAGAGCGCATTGTGTCCCGTTCCTGCGTCTCCTCTGTGTCCTCATTGACCGACAGGAAAGCTTCAGGGCTCCAGACTGGGGGACCCCAGGGTGGTGCTTTCGCTCTTCAGGGAGAAAGGCCCTCTTCATCTTCCTGCCGCTGGGGTGACCATGCTTGGAGCTCATCCCTGTGCAGACAGGAATGATGGGGGGGTGGGTTCTCAGGGCCACCCCTCATGGAGGAGTGTGTTTGGTTCCACGTGTCAGTCTCTGCAGCAATGACAGGCGGAGGGTGGCAGGGCCCCTCCGGTGTGTGTTTGCAGGCATGACTCATTGCTCTGCAGCCACCACCTTGGACGTAAACAACAGTATCTCAGAGCTGGAGCAGCATTAGCTTTGTGTCCTGAGCCACACACTGGGCTGCACCAGGCCCTTCACAGGGGTCTCCAGCAGCAGGAGCCTGGCCAGCAGCTCCAGCAGCCCAAGCCCCAGGGCGGCCGCTGGTGAGAACTCAGCACCTGGGTCGGTAGCTGCACGGGGTCCTGTTTGGCTTTTGGGCTGTGTTGCCTGATTTCTCCAGCAGCGGCTCCGTGGGGCAGGGAGCCAGGGGCCAGTGCAGATGGGCTGACTGCTGGCAGGACCTGACATGGGTTCCCTGTGGTCTGGGAGTGTGACTCAGGGACCAGAGCCTGCCCCCACCTGTGTGTCTGAGGAGGAAGGCTGATGGGTTTGCCGGAGCATGAAGCTGCCATTACATGTGGGGGCACATGGTGAGGAGGGGGACCCAGTGGGTGGCCAGGCTTGGACCATCATGGAAGCCAGTGAAGCAGGGTGTCCATCACCAGGACAAGGGCACTTCGGTGGGTAGTCAGAAAGGGTGAGGGGCAGTCAGTCTTCCCAGCCGCTGCCCTGGTCCTTGCTGAAGGCACATCTGCATTTGAAGGAGGCCATGGGCCCCTCTGCCATGGCTCCTGTCCTGGGCCCTGAGGACTTGGAGTCGAGGGGTCAGGGGTGGAGGATGAGCGGCCGCTCCTCCTGAGCCTGGAGTCTCTTGGGGCCCCTGCAGCTTCCCTTTCTGTGTTATTTTGTTGTATTCTGGTCTCTGCTCCCTCTCACCTGGTGAGGGTGTGTGTGTATGTCTGTCCACCTGTCTGTCTTCGAGACAGACAGGCCTCAGACAACTTACTTCACTTGGGGAAGTTAGTGTACAGCTCCAGAAACGTGGACTTGGCCCACTTTCACAGAGGCGGGGGAAGAGGATGAAAATGAGAGGGGGGGTTAGATGGTTCTAGGCAAGCCACTTCCTTCTGCATGCTTGCACATGTGCGTGCATTCCTGTAGCCACTAGGTGTCACTGTCCCCATGGAGTGGTCCCTGCTTACGGCCGCCTCAGCCCAAAAGCTCTGCCCCTCTCCCTCCCCCGAGTTTCCCTCTCGGGCTCACCCAGCGCAGCCTTGGACATTGCTTCAGTCCCTGGGGTCCACACCTGGAGGGTAGCCCGTTCTCCAGCCTGGGTGGGCCCCTGTGCCCGAGTCCCGCTTCCGTCAGCACGGAGAGAGTAACAGCCACTCACCCGGGTCCCCCAGGGAAGCCCTTTCTCCCCAGGCTTTGGCTCTGTGAAGCAGCGAGTCCCGTCCCTTTGAAAGCTGCGGTAACGGATGCTTAGTAGTGGTGACGTGGGGTCCATACCTCTCCCTTCTAGCACTCAAGACAACTCGATGTCTCTGTCCTCGACCCTCCCCTGGATGAGGCGAGACAAGCGCAGTAGGTAACTCATCACTGAAATGAGTGTGGGTCCCTCTGCCCTTGGTCAGCACCCTCGCAGGGCTGAGAACTGCGTGCTTGGGGAGGAAGTCCTCGGGGTCAGCCCTCCCGGCCGGGCTGGGCCTCTGCTCCCGCCCTGCCTACTCCAGTCAGGCGTGGGGCTTTACAAACAGAACCAACCCAACCCAAGTCTGGGCCCCGTGGTCAGCCATGGTGGGGGGACACCCGATGAAGTGCCTGCATTCACACAGCAGATTCCATGGGCAGCTGGCCCTGAGGCCCACTGGTTGGCCAGACGTCATATCTGGAAGCTGCATCAGGGAACGGCTGTTACAGTACTTTGAGTTGACTGATTTCGAGACATATCTATGTTCTGATGCCCAAGAAGACGCTGACTCTTGAAGAAACTCTGCCACTCAGCTCCAATGCCACTCAGCTTGCACCTAAAGTGACAGGAGTGAGCAGATGCTGTGTCTTTGAAGCCAGTCCCAACGCTCGGTCCACACTAGGGGCCCCGTGTGGTGAACCGGGGTCACGGAATGGGATGAATTTCAGTCCTAATGGGATGACTCCTTGGGCCGGCCACTAGAGGGCGGCATTGCTAGCCCTCAACTCCACTGTCAAACTTATTGATTTCATACATATATAAAATGACATATATATAAATATATAAACTGATTATATATATTTAATATTTTATTTATTTATTTTAGAGAGGTGGGAAAGGAAGGAGGGAAACATACATCAGTTGCTTCTCACAAGCTCCCAGCTGGGGACCTGGTCCACAACCCAGGCACGTGCCCTGACTGGGAATCGGACCAGTGACCTTTCAGTCCACAGAACAGCGCTCAACCCACTGAGCACACCAGCCAGGGCTGATTTTATATTTTTTAAATGAGGATTTTTAATGCTCTTCTTACAGAAGTAGTATAGTATCTATTCACACTACACTTTCATGTTTATTTCATTATGATTAAATGCTATTTGGTTGTTCCCATGAGTTTTGCAAATCCACCATGAGAACTTCACATGCGTATAGCTGGCTTTAAAAGGCGCTTATGTTAAATGTAACCAGAGGCATAATGAGTTTGAAGAAGCTAATCTCCAAAAGTCTTATTACTTTTTAAACCAAAGACGTTTTAACGACATTTTCCTACACATTAGCAACAAACACACCTGCTGTGCCTCACAGCTCTGCAGAGGTACCAGTGCTGAGATTCACTGCGATGCTTTGCGATGGGAAGCAAGACTGGAAGTCACCTAAGTGTCTGCCAACAGAGGATGAACTAAGTGACAGCACCAGCATGTTACGTGGCTGTTGCCAGACCACACGGACGGCTGGGGCTGCAGTATGGAGGACGGACGGTGGGCACGTGGCGTCAGGAGCTCGGGGGGTGGGCCAGGACACAGCCTGGGGAGCTGAGGGGTGAGTGCCAGTTATAAGTCACAGAGACTGGCTAACTCCTGGGAGTTACGACTGAAAGCCGCCGTTCTCATCACGAGAGAGAGGCTGACATCCATCACACACACAGTTTCTATGCTTACGGCGGTAATAATCTCACAATACGTACATAGTCCAATCATCGTGTCGTATGCCTAAAATCAATGCGATGTGGTGTGCCAATGTACCTCAGTGAAACTGGGAGAAAAGGTCCCGAGGGCAGTGACTCTGAGTAATCCGAGAGGTGGTTCGCTGATGAAGAGAGGTCCCAGAACTCCAGCGTTGGGAGGGCCTTACTGATGGGCAGTCAGAGCAGGACGCAGCTGGTCTGGCAGGATGGCTCCCGTCTGCCCCACTTCCCGTAACTCAGGAGAGGGGGGACTGAGGCCCACACTCCCCATAGGAGGGACAGGTGTCCAATTTGCTTCCAGAAGACAGAGCCCCAGGGCGGGCTCTTTACAGTACTGCCACCCACCGTTCTGCTCATCGGCTCCACCCTCCTTCCAGTGTGGGCACCAAGCATCACAGCTTCCTCTCACCCCACCTCCGCTCGTCCCAGAATGGGGGGCTCATTGCTTTGTGGGCTCGATGGCTCGGTTTCCGCTTGGCCGAGGCGGCCAGGGCCCCCCTCAGTGGGATCAGCCCAGCCCTGGCTGTGTCCTCTGAGCCCCACCAAGCAGCCCGCACCCACTTTCCAGGAGTTCAGATACTGCCGCCTCCCTGTGTGGGGTGTTCTCTTCCAAGCCAAACAGGCCACAGGAAGAGCGGGACCTCTGAACCTGGGAGCTGCCAACCCACCGCACTGCCCCGGGTGGTGGGTCGGCTTCAGCGGAGGGAATGCCAGTTTCATGGAGCAGCCCGCCAGGCGACAAAACCAGCTCTGTCTGGTCTCGGCTCCAGTGACTCACTGGTTGTTTTTACTTCTAAAGTCAGAGCTTTGGCCTAACTGGGGGCTCCTATTTCCTGGCTGACGAAGCAGATGGAAGAAACACACCCTGGCGGCCTGTGCAAAATGCAAGACCCAGCCGGGTGTTGGGGGCGTGCAGAGCAAGCTCAGGGGGCGGCCTGGCCTTCGCCTCGTCTTCTGCTTGGTTCCTTGTGCTTGTCTGCCCAGCAGCATGGGAACTGTGCGCAGGAGTTGTATTCTACAGGGCAGTGTGGGCTTGTCTACGTGCCAGACTGATGAGAAAGTGGGACTTAGAGCCCTGGGCGAGACGCCCCCAAACACCACCTTGAGGGGGAAGTTGGTTTCTGTGGGCAGGTGCCTTTCAGTCTGGCTGTGCTCAACTCTGCGATGCTGAAGTCAGAACTGGTCCTTCTTCATGGCCTCCTTTCTGTCCCTGGACGTGGGCACGTCAGGCCTTAGTGCTGGTGAGATGTGCAGTGGAGTCCTGGGGAAAGCTCCTCAGAGCCCAGAATGTTCCGTGGAGGGCCTTGAACACAGCCGGCCAGCAGGATGACCAGGGGAGGCTGAGCTCTCCACCTGCTAGAAACACCCAGCCCCCACCCAGCTCACCCGGTCCCCACCCCTCCTCGCTGTGATGGACATGCTGGGCTTCTGCTGGTGGAAAGGGGGCAGCCCTGCACCCAAAGAGCTGGACTGGAGTCAGCCTGCCCCTGAGCAGCTGTGGCCTTGGGCAAGTCATGCGGCACCCCCGTGCTTTAGTTTCCCTGAGGCACTGACAGCTACCGTCTTCTCGGTCAGCGAGGATGAAACAAGACAGGGCAGAGCCGGGGCTCTCACAGAGCATCACAAGTGTGAGTGCTTTGTTTTGCCCTTAAACTTGAACACCACTGACAGAAAGTCTGAGCATCGTCTCTGGCTCTCACACCCATCACCACCGGCAGAGTCTCCTGCAGGCCTCCCCTTTGGGCCCTTGTCCGCCACTGAGCCAGCCACCAAGGGGCACTTCCAGAGAGGAAGGAGCCTCCCTGTCCTGCTCCGTGTGCCCGTCACCCCACCACTGCCCGGAGTTTGTGAGCTCACGGAGAGCAGGGGCTGGGTCTTTCCATTCAGAGTCGCAGGTATTATATACATCATACAATTTACCACTGTAACTGATTTTTAAGTGTACAGTTCATTGACATTAATTCTATTCACCAATTTGTGCAAGCACCCAGCCATCCACCCACCCACAGGTGTCTCCATCACCGCAGCCTGAAACTCTGTACCCACTGAGCTAACTTCCCGTCCCCTCCCTCTGTCCCCGGCAACCGCCATTCTGCTCTGTCTCAGGGAATTTGCCCGCTCTGGTCTAGATACTTTACAGAAGTGGACTCATTCCACGTCTGTCCTCTCGTGACCGACGTCTTTCCCTGAGCATAGTTTTCCAGGTTCATCCATGTCGCCACTTAATTCTTTTTTTTGTGGCTGAACAGTATTTCAAGCATTTTAGAGCACATTTTATCGACACATTCATTGGCTGAGCACTGGGGCTATTTCCCTCTTCTGGCTACTGTGAGCTGTAGACACTGGTGCGCAGTCACCTGTGTGACTGCTGGATCTCAGTGCTTTGGGGACACACGTGGGTGTGAAAGGCTGGGTTACGCGGTCTAACACGTTGAATCCTGCCCCACAATGCACCACGTGAGAGCCTCAACTGCTGGTACCTCAGAATGTAATTGTGCTTGGAAATAGGGTTTTTTCATGAGGTCATTAATGTGTGCCCTCTGTGTCTTAAAAAAATAGGAAAATTTGGACCCAGTGACAGGCACACACAGAAGGGAAGCCACATGGAGACCCCAGGAGAAGACGGCCATCTATCAATAGCCAGGGAACACCCGAGGCCTCTGGCAGCCCGGGGAGGGGGTGGGACAGAGGCTCAAGCACAGCCTCAGGAGGTACCAACCCTGCCAACACCTCGATCTTCGACTTCTGGCTTTACTTTGGCTGCCCTACTGGGCGTGCGGCAGTCTCGCAGGTGCTCTGGGTCTGCGTTTCCCTCAAGACTGGCGATGCTGAGTATCTTCTCATGTGTTCACCGACCATCTCTATATCCTGTCCTCATCTTTAAACCCCCCGTGCAGAATGTAATATACTCAGTGAATGTACTTTGATTTATAAACGGATGGAACTCCCTGGTCTTGAACTTCCCAGCCGCCTTCGTGAAGTGTTGACAGTCCTTTGGGCTGTTACGGAAGCCCCATCCACCCAGTCACTTCTCACGCAGGGCGTGAGTGCTGGAAGTCCTCACACAGCCTGCGTGTCAGCTCCCAGCTCACCTCCCATCTGCTCCCAATGATCTCTCTCCTGCTTATCCTCAAGTGACCTTGAGCAGATTGCCCGAACTGGGATAACAGGCCTCACTTGGGACTGTCCCCGCATATCAGCCTGGTTGTCACACTCCTGCCACACTGTCCTCCCGTCTGCCCTTGACCTTGCAGTGGCTGAGCCCTGTGTCTGAGGGCCCTTTGCCGCCTGCCTCCCGACCGGCTCATCTTGGCCTTCGGGTCTTGGCCTGCACCTCCCCAACCTCTCTTTCTCACCGGGT